GAAAGAAAGAAAGAAAGAAAGAAAGAAGGAAAGAAAGAAAGAAGGAAAGGAAGGAAGGAAGGAAGGAAGGAAGGAAGGAAGGAAGGAAAGAAAGAAAGAAAGAAGGAAAGAAAGAAGGAAGGAAAGGAAAGGAAAGGAAAGGAAAGGAAAGGAAAGGAAAGGAAGAAAGAAAGAAAGAAAGAAGGAAAGAAAGAAGGAAAGAAAGAACTAGAAGGAAGGAAAGAAGGAAAGAAGGAAAGAAGGAAAGAAGGAAAGAAAGAAAGAAAGAAAGAAAGAAAGAAAGAAAGAAAGAAAGAAAGAAGGAAAGAAAGAACTAGAAGGAAGGAAAGAAAGAAGGAAAGAAGGAAAGAAGGAAAGAAGGAAAGAAGGAAAGAAAGAAAGAAAGAAAGAAGGAAAGAAAGGAAGGAAGGAAGGAAGGAAGGAAGGAAGGAAGGAAGGAAAGAAAGAAAGAAAGAAAGAAAGAAAGAAAGAAAGAAAGAAAGAAAGAAAGAAAGAACGAACGAGCAGCCAGGACTAGAACTGGTGCCCATATAGGATGCCGGTGCTTCAGGCCAGGGCATTAACCCACTGCACCACGGCTCTGGCCCCGTGTCTGTTCATTTAATCATCTTCTTCTCCACTGCATTTATTGCTGGCTACTCACTACCCCCAAGAATGTAAATATCCACAGGAGGTTGGAGCTGCTTTGTTCATTTATGGGTCCTAAAAGCCTAGAATAGCTCCTAGCACATAGTAGGTGCAATAAATATTTGCTACGTGCTGAAGGAAGCAAAGCCCTGGGCTGGTGAGAGCAACTACTATCCTGGTTGTTCCACATGTCTACATGGAAGAGCTTGAGATGCAAGTGCTTCGCAAAGCAGGAGGGCGCGTGCTGCTCAAGCTATGTCTGAACAGCGGGCACGCGGTGTTTGCCGGGACGCACATCCACTTGGGCTGGTCTGGCGAGAGGCTGCTGGGTAGGGAGGACTTAACCTCCCCTCCCATTTTGCCTCACAGCCTCCCCAGAGCCACTGTGTGTGACCCCCACACATCAGCTCCGTCTACATCATATGAAAGACTTTCTCCTCTTGAAATGGTACATTTTAATTCTCTGTCCCTAAGACGTGATTTAAAAGAAGTCTTACCTGCACAGTTGACCAGATAGATGTCCACTCCATTTGGGAATGTTGATTGTAGCAGTAACAATCTGACTGAAAACTTTTAATTACATCCATTGCCTTCAAAGTTCTACACCTTGAAACTGAGAGAGAAAAGAAATAACTTCCTAAATATTTAATCAGCCAATATCCTTTTGTTATTTAAACTCACAGGGAGATAACAGTAATGGTTTATACATTCTGTGACCAACAAATTCTTCTATCTAGTAATTACAGTCCTGCAGTCTTTTCAACCCAGAAGGAGACAGAAAGTACCATGGTCCGGCATCAATACCCTTGTGACATACAGAGGACATCCTAAGCACACTTCAGTCCTGACTTAGAGGACAGGAATTAGGGCGGCTTCCCAGCAAAGATGAAATATGAGCGGAGGACCTGGGAGTAAGTAGGAGGCAATGAGAGGGAAGTCGGGGGTGGGGGTGGCAGGTGTATACAAAATCGGAGGAGGGAGAAATCCTGGGGGTGGTTCAGCACAGGAACAACAGGCAAGACTGGAGTGGAAGGATACACACGACCTTTCAGCACCTGCAGCAGGGGAGCTCAGCACAGGTTACTACTGCGGAACAGACACGGACAGCATCCTAAAAGCAGAGCACGGGGGCCGGCGCCACGGCTCAACAGGCTAATCCTCCGCCTTGTGGTGCCGGCACACCGGGTTCTAGTCCCGGTCAGGGCGCCGGATTCTGTCCTGGTTGCCCCTCTTCCAGGCCAGCTCTCTGCTGTGGCCAGGGAGTGCAGTGGAGGATGGCCCAAGTGCTTGGGCCCTGCACCCCATGGGAGACCAGTAGAAGTACCTGGCTCCTGCCATCGGATCAGCGCGGTGCGCCAGCAGCAGCGCGCCGGCCGCGGCGGCCATTGGAGGGTGAACCAACGGCAAAAAGGAAGACCTTTCTCTCTGTCTCTCTCTCTCATTATCCACTCTGCCTGTCAAAAAAAAAAAAAAAAAAAAAAAAAAAAAAGCAGAGCACAGGAAGAATTTCAGGTATTGGAGTCTCAGCAGGAAAGTGCTGACACCCAAAAGGGTTTAACAGATATGAGCAGGGTTAAGGCGCCAACAGCAGCAGAAACCTTTTAACACCCCGGGGCTTGAAAGGGCAAGGGAAGGACCCCATGCTCCGAGAGCCATGGAAAGCCATGGAGAGCCATGGGCGTGGGGAGGGCAGGGCTCTGGGGGATGACAGTCGCTGCCAGAACCTCAGTGGAATGTGGAGTAAGGGTGTGGGGACCGCAACCTCCCGGTCCTGAGCTCCTGTCAGTGTCCAGATTTGGCCAAACCAAGAGGAAGACCGAAGGCAAAGAAGCCCAGAGGATGCAGTCCACGGAGGTCAGCGCCAGGCACTGAGCGGGGCACAGAAGGCTGAGAATGGATCTGCAGGAACAAACCAGGAGTAGTCCCCTGATAAGGAAGTGACAGGACAGGAACACGCACGTCTTTTAGAAAGCGCATTCTGTGAGCAGTGGATCGTACCGGAGGAACTACTAGGGAGCCTTCCACAGGTAGCAGTCTAAGCAGGGGAGCTGAGTGAGGCGGGAGAGAGAACAGAGGAGGAGCGCCTGGGAAGCGGGAACAACAGGCTTCGGAGACACATTTGATGAAGGAGAAGATGATGTGAAGGTTTCCTGTGAGTGGACAGTCGGGCCCTTTACCCAGATAATAAGACATACTGGAGGAGTAGCAAGCTGGTGAGGGGAAAGGTAACTGAATTGAATTTTGGACCAAAAGTAGCCTTCCCATGTCCATGACAGACATGTTCCAAAAGCCACAGGGAGGCCTGAAACTGTGGATGGTACCAAACTCCATACGTGTCTTCTCCTCCATGCCCACAGTGTGGCCACACAGTACCCGAGGTACAATCTGTCCCATGCTTGATGCCCTAGTACCTCCTTTCTATCTACTCTTGTGCTTTGGGGTCCCTAGTAAATAAATAAAGGGTTGCTTGAACCCAGTCACTGAAACAGCAACAGTTGCTCTGATAACCTAGATGGTTATTAAGTGACTAACAGGAGGGTAGTACATATAGCATGGATACACTGGACAAGGGAATTACTCATGTCCTGCACAGAACACAGTGGGATGGTGTGAGATTTCATCATGCTACTCAGAATGGTGTACAATCTAAAATGAATGAGTTATTTCTGGAATTTTCCATTTAATGTATTTGGACCATGCTTGACCTCAGGTAACTGAAACCACAAATAAGGAACTAAGTGAAGATGGGCAGGCCTGCAGTTCTAAGACACTGGGCTGGAGAAAGATTAGACAAATATATATGTATGTGTATATACATAGATGTTTGTTGGATGTAAAGCATTGAAAATAATATACATTTATATATATGTATAAAATGACACAATGAGAGACAGAGAGAGAGATGCTATACTACAGAGGGTTAATGAAAATTCCACAAGAAAATTAGGAAGAAATAGGGTTCATTGTCTTCCGTGGCTACTGTTATATTTGGATTTGGAATGAAGTGGGAAAGGGGCGAGTGATGTGCTATAGTAGGTTAAGCCTCCGCCTGCGGCTCTGGCATCCCACATGGGTGCCTGTTCATGTCCCAGCTGCTCCTCTTCCAATCCAGCTCTCTGTATGGCCTGGGAAGGCAGTGGAGGATGGCCTACCCCTGCACCCACTTGGGAGACCCTGAGGAAGTTCCTGGCTTCGGATAGGCTCAGCTCCAGCCGTTGCAGCCATTTGGGGAGTGAACTGGTGGATGGAGGGCCTCTCTCTTTCTGTCTCCCCCTCTCCCTCTCTCTCCCTCTCTCTGTAACTCTGCCTCTCAAATAAATAAATAAATCTAAAAAAAGAGAAAAAAGAAGTGGGATGAAAGTCATAAATTCTTCTCAATGCAAGACAGGCCGCCAAATAGTGAAACAGGGAATGCTTATGGGTACACAGAGAAATGGCCTAACACCCAAGTCCTCAGTCCTCTAAGGGAAGAGTACTCAACTGCTTCTCCAGAAAAACCTGAAATTAAGCTAGAACCTCTTAGGCCAAAGTTGGGGAAGGACTGGGAAATCAGCAATACTAGTCAACATTATATCCATTTAGCGATTCATATTGAATGAGCTCAGATAAGTCCCTGTCCTGGCTTGAGATGTCCTTAGCATTAAGTTGAAGAAAAGTAAACACAGACCTGGGGAAGGAATCTCAGGAGTGCTCGCCACATGAAACTCAACCGCATAAAGTCAGAGTTCTCAGGTGGTTACACAAAGCAGGGAAATTACACAAGGACCTGGAATATTCCATTATGACAGTCAAATCATTTCACCTTATCCTTATGAGGAAATGTACATGTTTTCAATTATCAACAGAGGCAGGTATTATGGCACAGTGGGTAAAGCCACCACTTGGGAGGACTGTACCCCTTATCAGAGTGCCTAGGATTGAGTCCTGGCTCCTCTGCTTCCAATCCAGCTCCCTAATACATCTTGGAAAGCAGGAGATGATGACCCAAGTCTTTGGGCTCCTGCCACCCATGTGGGAGACTAGGATTGAGTCTCTGGCTCCTGGCTTTGGGCAGGCCCAGACCTGGCTGGTGTGGCCATCTGCGAGGCAAACCAGAGATTGAAAAGCGGTGTGTGTGTGTGTGTGTGTGTGTGTGTATGTGAGAGAGAGAGAGAGAGAGAGAGAGACTCTTTCCTGCCCATACATAAGAGTTCAAGTGAGAATACAGAACCAGTGCTACAAAGCAAGAGAGCAATGTGGAGGTGCATCCTCCTGGCCAAGGGACAGGGCAGTCCTTACATGGCAAGGCTGGCAGTCAGCTGTGGAAAAGAGCGTGGGACCTGGATAAGAACACTTGAAAATACACAAAAAGCCAGCAGATGTGGGATCAGGTCTCTGGACTTGCCTTCCTGGACCCCACATCCTGCTCAGCACAGGCTCCTCTGGGGTCTCTGAGCAGGACCCAGGGGGGAATCAGGTGATGTTTATACTGGGAAGTCCTGGGTGAGACAGACTCTCCCCACAGGGGTGGCACATCTAGCATAGCAGTGAGGAGTGCTCGCTACAAACCCAGGAGCCCTGCCCTGTCCTACGAAGGTTCACTTCCTGTCTCGCAGGTGCTCACTGCTGGGGGCTTTTCTGTGGGTGCCTCCTCTCTGAAGGAAATCTGCTACTTCAAGGGCTGAGTCAGCTCCCACAGAGCAGCTGCCTTCCACAGTGGGCTGAGGAAACCTCTGTCTGGGCCTGAGCTTTGCAAACAAATGCTATCTTCAAATGAGGAGTTGTTTTCTTTTTTTTCTTTCCATTTGCTCTTAAGGCCGTCTCCTAAATCACTTGGTATCTGTAGGTCTTAAAAGCAAGATGACACAGTTTTAGTGTAATAGCTTGAACTTAGGAGTAACCGTGTCTCTGTTACCCACGGCACATGCATCTGGCACTTGGATGACCATGACAGCCTCCTAGCGGGTCTCCCTGCTTCCAGAACTGCCTCCCCTGTGGTTCCCTCCACAACCTCATCTCCAGTCAGCATAAGGACCATTCAAAAGCATCCATCAAAGCACATGATTCACCTGCTCAGCATCCTCCTGACTTCCCAGCACCAAAGACCCACACGTCCCTCCATGACCTCTCCTCCACCTTTCTTCCGCTCTCGCCACTGCTCCAGCCACACCACGCCTCCTGTCCTCAAGACAGCGGCCTCTGCCTGCTTCAAGTTTCATCAGCTACAACCCTCTTCCCCCAGGACCTGGCAGAGCTTGTGCCTTCTGACAACTGCTGTGCTTACTCAAATGTCACTCTCATGAAGGTCTTCTCTGATCCACTGGCTAAGTGTGCTTTCTACTCTCTATCACACAAGGATTGATTAATTGATACCGTTTCCCTGTGAAGTTAGGGACCCTGCAGGTTCATTACTGTATCCCCATTTAAGTATTTGTCTCTCTTTCTGTGCCTGTGTGTGTGTGTTGCAATTCGAGAGGTTTAGTGGGCTGCCTGGGCATGCTACCCTATGCAGTGAAAGCTCAGCCAAGCTCCGACAGCCTGGCTGGTGCCAGTCAGACCATAAAAGGAGGTACATTCTGGCCCTTTCCGTAAAACCACCTGAAGCAAAGGGACACCCTGTCTAGCCTGGGCCCT